TTTCTTGTCACAACAAAATATCAATATTAAAACAAAACCTTGACTGTTTTATTATTCTTTGAATAATAACGTTCAAAAAAAGAAGAAATCGAAAAACGCAAGAATCCGAAATAAATATATCCTTGCGAACAAAATCTCGAAGAGGTAAAAATAAAAGAGGAAAAAAAAAAAAAAAAAAAAGAAAGGGAAAAACGCAAGAAACGAAAAAAAAAATTTCCTGGGGAAAAAAATCCCGAAGAGGAAAAAAAAAAAAAAAAAAAAAAAAAAAAAAAGAAATCAAGGTCTTCTCCATACATACACAAAAAAAATTCACAAAGAACGTATTATCATCCGGGATCCCTTTTACACGTGCCACATAACGAAGCTCCATTCACTTCCGCGTGGTTTCTTCGAGGGGAGGGAAGGGAGGGAGTTGACTCGCGTCGAAAGATCGATACGAGGACACGAAGCGAGTTACGCGCGCTTCCACGTTCAATTTCAGAATCGGGAATATGTTTGTGCAAAACTTTTCCTTTTCATTAACTCACGAGGTGATCGAGTTCTTCTTCATTTTTTATCCCCGATTGCCAAGGAAATTAATGAATTTTTTAACTTAATTCTTAAAGACGAATCGAATTGATTAAATTCAAATATAACGTGGAAATTGATTTACTTGATACGAACGGAAAATGTTAAATGTCGTTGAAAAAAAGGGAATTTTTAGTTGGAAAAAAATCGCAATTTATAACGCTTCGATGAGAAGTGATTAAAAATTCAAGTATTTTCTGGAAATATAGAAATCTAACGCTGTAACCAATTATAAATTAAAAGAATATTTACGACTAAAATTAAAGTAAATATTATATAATATATATCGTTTTATATTGTATTTGAAAATTATATTTAAAAAAAAAAATTTCTTTTCGATTAATCTTCTCATCGATTAACAGTTTTTCGCCATCCCTTAAACTTCAATACAATATTAAACGCATCGATCAAAATTAAAATCGAGTCGAATGAAATTTTCGCGCAATTCATCTCATCGATGACGTTTATTTCCAGGAATTATTTCTAGCCGGAAATGAAACGTAACTCAGGTGTAGAAACATTCATAGGAGAGAAGTTCATTCATAGCCGGGGCATTCATAAAACGTTTATTCGTCCGAGCGATGCGAAGCCCGATTCTATTTGACTTTCGCACAATTTATGGCTTTCCAAGGGATAGCTTCCACGCGAGAGACGCGAGGAGTTAAGCAGCGAGGGTTAGATCTCGGTTAAACGACAAGTCACGTACTTGTCGAAGAAGCCGTAAATATTAGAAAATATTGCTCCAAGCTAACCATCCACTAACCATTTCGATTTACTCGGGCTAAATTATATCCGAGATGACTATAAACAGATTGAACTGCTTAAAATTTTCGAGAGAAAATAATAATTCGAATGATAAGAAAAATATTTAACAAATATTTCGATTCTTTTCCAATTCTGTTCCATACTTCTTCGAAAATAAAAATACATTTCCAATAC